AAAAAAAAAACCCCAACAACAACAACAAACAAACAGTAAAAATAAAAAAACAAAGAAGCCAAACATTTACGCAAGCCCGCTTGATACGATAAGCATAAAAAAACACCAGAGCAGAAACGACGCGGTTCTTGTTTTTGTCTTTTTGGTCGGGAGGAGGCAATTCGGTCTGTTCGTTTCCGACATGCGTGAATAGGTCAAAGGACAGGGAACGCAAGGTGGTATTATCAAACAATGAATGATTCTTATTTTAACTAGTAAAAAATTGTCGATATAATATACAATTAAACCGGTGGTTTACGCATAGACTTGGCTAATCATGAGGCGCTGATTACGATACGAAAACTAAAGGTAATCTTCTTTTTTAAAAAGCTCTAGCTGGGCTTATGGCCGATGAGTCACCGCACACTGCCGCACAGCCACACTGAAATGCCGCAAGCACAGAATTATACACTTAGTGTAGAATTCTGTGGCCGCAAGCGACAATCCAACCCGCCAGTCTTTCGTCGGGCGATCTCGGTGGTCATTTTGGTGGACACAGACGGAATTCTCACAGATCGCAACATTGTTGAGGAAACAACAACAACCCAAAACAACAAAAAACAAACAAAACTAAACACAAAACGGTGCTTTATTTCAGCTACCAACATCCCAAGACACGGACTACTTTTTGACGGCTGGTATCTGGTTTGGACGACTTCGTGTCCTCGGGAAAGGCATTTTGATTTAGTACACGTAATTCCTATTTGCCTCAGTCCTTTCGGAGAGGGGCGTTGAGCTTGGAGGTCCCGCCTCTTAAATAACCTACTATTAGTGTTGATAGGGGCGTTAAACGTAGGATTATACCATTTTTTTTGGGGGGGGGGTGGTGGACATGCAGGCTTAATTTTAATTAAGTAACTGGACCATAACAACCTGACAGACGGAAAATCCTTTACAAAAGTGTCTATTTCAAACATTTGGCCCGCAGTAACACGCCAGTTTTAGACCGGTCTGTTTGTTTGTTTGTTTATGTTTATATGTTTCTTTTACTTTTTGATTAAAAATATTTTTTTTTGTTGGTCACGTTCTCTCCCACAGACAGCATGCAGCAATGTCAGGTCAACACACATGTAGATGGAAATGTGTATAATGGCGTAAGAGGGTTGTGTTTGTGTGTGTGTATATGTGTGTGTGTGTATGTGTGTGTGTGTGTGTGTATATATGTGTGTGTGTGTGTGTGTGTGTGTGTGTGTGTGTGTGTGTGAGTGAGACACACACAGAGAAAGAGAGAGAGAGAGAGAGAGAGAGAGAGAAGGAGAGACAGAAGGAATGAGAGAGAATGACAAGACAAAGAGAAAGAGAGAGAAACAATACACAAACAGAGAGAAAGTGAGAGAGAGAGAGAGAGAGAGAGAGAGAGAGAGAGAGAGAGCGAGAGAGGAGGAGGAGGAGAGAGAGAGGAGGATGGAGAGACAGCGATTGTGAACACTGTAATGTATTCGTATAGATCTATCTACTTGCGTTCAACGGATAATAATATCCAACTACAACCATGCTGCATTTTCATAAACAGTTCTGCCTTTCTAGAAGTTCCAGACATTAAACTACCTACTGCTGAGGTCACAAAAGGGCCATTCTATGAAAATTGAAACTTCAGTGGCACACGTATTGAATACACATTCATGCAATAGGCCCACTCATGGGGAGGGGGGGGGGGTCTATCTTTGATACAACAAAACCTCGACCCATGTGTCGGCACTAGAGAGAGTTAGTTTTAATAGTTTCAGAACGGTACAGTTTACAGAACTAGCAAGACAAATAGGCCATTTATATTGAAGTGCCACATACTAGAGGTGTTGGTGATAGAAAGTAACATATAAAAAAAAAAAAAACTGGAGAAAAGATTAGGATGACAGATATTTGAGGAAAGAAGGAGCAAACCACACCAGAGCATCTGCCAACCACCCACACACTAGAGATAATTTGTTCAGATGGAGAGAAAAGATACCCCCCCAATTAATGACAGAGTATTTGCAGTTCATGAGTGGAATCCGCCCAGCAGGGAATTGCATGCACCCCATGGTGGTGGGCCATTGATTCATTAACCATCTCTCTCTCTCTCACTCTTTCCCTCCCTCCCTCTCTCTCTCTCTCTCTCTCTCTCACACACACACATACACATGAGCAGACACAAATACACGCACAAGCAATATTTATTAAGCTCACCTTGAGAGAGTTCTTCACATGATGGTTCTGGTAAGCTCCAAAGGAGACTGCCATCCCCGTGTCAATGGACATCCTTTCATAAGGGAACAAGGACGCCTGATGCTCCCGCATCACAAGCTGGGTGTCGTACTCCGCCTGAGGTACACAATAATAAGAGATAGTTTTAGTAAAGGTTTTACGGCGCTAGCAACTGCATATGGTCATATGAGCGCCAGAAGATTAGAGGTGTTACAGGAGAGTAACAAACATTAAAAAAGGGGAGATAAGGACGATAGATGTTTGATAGGAAAGAAGACGCAAACCACACCAAAGCACCCGCCAACCACTCACTAATTATAGATAGCATTTGTATAGCGCAAATCTCCGCTCAACTGCAAGCTCTATCCGCTTCACAATCTATACCCCCAGCAGACCAGAGAGCATTCTGAAACAACCTCAACTTCCTGGGAAGCATACAGTGCAAGCAGCCATTTATAGGTGCTAAAACAGTAACATACTGACAAGATCTTTCGCTGTCTATGGCCGGATACCCATTCTCACCTGTGTGAAGTGAGGAAAATTCGTGTAAAGTGCATTTGCCAAGGACACAATGTCTGGCCTGCGGCTCGAACCCCCGAACACAGAACCTCACGATTATGAGTCTAGTAGCCTAACCACTAGACCACCAACGCCACAATACAGGTCTTTATTTCAAACTGCCAAACACTCGAGCAGTCACTTGAGTCATAGTGCAAAGTACTTAAATTAAGCTTCTAATACTCAAACGGATAAAGTGCCAACCCATCAAACAGAGTGTCAAACACCGGAACCATCAATTTTTCAATATAAGAATTTCACAGCACTTGCAGCACAATTAATTGTCTAATAAATGTCGAAGGCTAGGTGTATAACAAGATAGTAACATGCAAAGAAAAGAAGGAGGAGATATAAGGAGGATATATATTCAATAGAAAAGAAGGAGTAAACCACACCAGAGCACCTCCCAACCACTCACTCCAACATTCCAAAGTGTCAAGAACTCAAACAAAAGAGTCAAACAGTGAAAAGCTAGAAGTGTCAAAAGACGAAGTCTTAAAAATAACACACAAAAAACTGAGAGTATCAAACTCATGAACAATTGAAAACATCAAACACTCTAAAGGCCATCCTGTCAAGCACTCAAACAATATGTAAGACAGTTAATAAAGAGTCTAGCAAGCACGTAACCTGAGAAAACCTGAGCTACTTACCGTGTCCACCTTCGGCAAAAGGTGGAGAGGAGTTCTGGCGCCGTGTCTGAACATAACTTGGACTTGTCGTAGCTGTAGCGAAGACTCATCAACCACTGTGCCCGCATTGCACGGTTTTGAACGGGGGCTGGCACATGGACTGGGAGAATTGGGTTTCTCGAGGGCATAAACTTGCTGGTTCTTTCTCAGATGTCTCAGAAAAAGAATTCCTCCTGCGGCCAAAGCTGGAACACAGAGAAGACAACAAACTAGAACAGTGAAGAAGAATCATATCAGAGACGACCTCACATTTTCCCCCCCCCCCATCCTCTCAGAGCAAATATAATAAAGGGGACACAGAGAGGGTTCAAGGCTTTGGTGTACTTTTATTAGTTACTTTTACCCTCTTCTAGACACAAAGTTCCTTACGAATAAGGATAAGGAGCAGCTCTGGTCAGACTGCTGGAATGGAAGGAAAAGAGAAAGTAATACAGGAGAGAAGATGCTTCTGTCACGAATTGAAAGCTTGAAATACTTAGTCACGCTGAGCCCAGCTAGGGTCTTTCATTTCTTGTCACACAAAAAGGTGGAAAGGGGGGGGGGGGGGAAGGTACATGAATTCATAGCCTATAAAATTAGAATTTAAGGTAATTGGTTACAGCGTGGAGCAAAGTGGAACTGGGGATTGTTAAGATTTCCGCATTCAGTTCCGATTTGCGTTTTTCAGGGTTAGGGTTAAGGTTAGGGACCAAAGCGAAACATGCCTGAGGCTATGAAAAACGCACATCGGAATTAAACGTGGGAATCTTAACAATCGCCTGGAGCTGTAGATTTCAGGCTTTCAAGTTAAAAGGTGGGGTTTAGGAGAAGTGAAAGGAAAGGGGAAAAAAACCCAACCTTTCCACTTTCAGTCCATATAGATTCTAGATCTAGATCTAGATCTAGATTTATTTAGAATGGATAAAATACCATCACCACAGTCACAGAAAAAAAAGAAAGTAGGGATCTAATGGCTGGCAAGGTGATGTCTAAGCCAAACTTACTGATAAAAGATAGATCTAGATCTAGGCTAGATCTATATCTAAATATCTAGACTAGATCTAGATATGATCCCATAGATAAATCCCCCTTAAAAGAACAAAATAAATGAACGTGGTGTAAAGTCTGGATACTCACCAAGATTTCGAACATTTGCGGCTTCCTTAAATATGTGGCTCATTTTCTTGCCTCAGTCGCAAAATAATATCTTTACAAGCCTGGTGTTCTTGTTTCGTAGGCAATCTCAATTGCAGAATCTAAATCTAGTCTTCAATGGTAAAAATCAGTGTCGTCATCAAGCTGTGCAAAACGGCGACAGGGAAATAATTTGGGGCTTTCCCGGTTCACTCAGAACTCTTGTTGAGTCGCGACCAAGTTTGTCTTTAGTCCTAAAAGTGTTGAGTCGAATTATACAACACGTTGAACACGCATGAGACCTTTCAAACCTAACAAATAGCCGACCTTGACACAAGAAGCAGACGAAACACGTTTGTAAAATCATTTAATTCTAAAACACCCAACAATCCCAGAGCAAGCTGCAAAATAAATTAGAATCTAAAATTCGTGTTACACGCGCACCAAAACTCTACAACTAATCTTGCTTGATCTAGAATTCTAGAGTCTTGACCTACTGACTACTAACAACTGCTTGACTACTAGATCAAATCTAGACTAAATTCTAGAGTCTAGATCTAGACTGAGCCTACTATGGAATATGGATCACAGCACACGAACACACTACACTACACACACTCTACTAATCTACTTATGTAGGCTACACTACACACAGTAGATCTGGTACAACCGCCGATTCCGGGTGAAAGAAAGCAAACGAAACACAGCATAAACTCCACAAAACCCAGGACTTTTAGATCTAGATTAGAATCTAGATTTTAAAAAATAAACTACTGATATTACTTCTACACTAGGCTAAGCCAACAGTAGACGAAAGCGGTTTAGCTCATAAACTCCTGTAGGCTAGGCCCCCTAGCAGAAAATTGACAGAGGAACGGGTTGCTGGTACACTCATTAAAACAGGGTCTGCTAGATCTAGTTCTACTTTCGATTCCAGCGGCTCCCTGCCAACAAGGACAATGCAGAAAATCTGCCCTGTTCCACTGCCCCACTCACGACAAACTCCAGATTTTTTTCACGCAGGGCAATAAGTAAAAACGTTATTTTTTATTATCTACCTCGGCCTACTGGGTTACTAGGTCGCAAGTACTTTGAAGTACAAAGCGTTGAAGATGAAGTAGGTCAAACCCAAAGGTTCAAAAGAAATAAATAAGATCGTAACAACTCCAAACAATTCATGCCCCTAAAAGCTTAATAAAGGGAGTTGTTTTGAGACGATACATTACATGTATGAGCTTGTGTACATGTCATGTAGGGCTATATAATATCTCGTTTCAGCCTCATTTGCCCACCGTGTCAAGAAGGAAAACACCGCTTTCTTTTTAAAGCACATCGGAGACATGATGCAAAAAATATGATTTAACTTTCCAACATAAGCAAAGCCTTGTTCAGAGAAGTAGACAATTACCTTGCAATTACCAGACATTGAAGAGACACGACCCGCTCCTCCCTCCCGAAAAACGTAACATTTCCAGCCAGACATTACTTTTTCATTAACAACATGCTTAATGAAATCTGCTCTAACGTAGTGTGAAACGAAAGGTTATGAACTGGCAACAGGAAATGTATTTCAAGAACTGTTAAAACGAGTTCTCTATCATTTATTTAGCCTAATAGGTTTGTTTCTCTTTCTCAATTTCGCGGTGGGAATAAACTCTAAATCTGGATAGATCTGAAAGAGCCAACACTGCCTGATGTTCTCATGGGATATCCGGATTATTTCACGCATGCGCAAACGATAGAAACTTTGCCAAGATGGCGTCGTTTTTGTGTTAGTGTAATGTAGGTGGAGAACGTTCGACAATATCTGTTTAACAGCGCAGGGACGGTTTAAATATGGATGGTCCTGACGCTTTGATTGATCCCCAGAATGAAGTTAGAAAGCTTCAAGAGCTTGTTAAGAAGTTAGAGCGTCAAAATGAAGTTTTGCGAGGCAAACAAGGGAGTGTTCATGACAAGCAACGACAGAACGGTGATGTTGACGATATCAGTAGCAGAAACAATTTTGTAAACAATGTAGAAGCTGACTCAGACGATGTCTCAAAACTGAAGAGCCGGGGTAGTTATGCACTTGACGACTTTGATGATGTGGATCATTCTGAATTGCCAAAGGAAGAAGATAGTTGGTATGTTTTTGAGTTTGAGTTGTAATGAAAGTTTAGATCTAAAAATCTATAGATCTAGAATCTAGATCTAGATTCTATTCTAGATCTAGATCTAGATCTAGATTAGATCTAGATTCTAGATTCTATATCTAGATATTAGATCTAGAACTAGAAGATCTAAATCTAGATTAGATCTAGAATCTAGAATCTAGATCTAGATCTAGAATCTAGAATCTAGATCTAGATCTAAATCTAGAACAGTACAGTTAAAAGACTCTATTCAGAGAAAAAGAAGGCTGTCCTCATCCCGGGCCCCGTATGAGAATAAAAATACGAAACATAAAAATATGATCGACCTCTCACCCCGGTTAAGACTTGCCAGCGTTGGTTATTCTCACCCGCTGTGAAACAAAACCTGTTTTTCCTAATTTCGGAATGTCTATCGGTGTGGATGATCAGATAAAAACAAAGAAAAAAATGATGTAAATAGTTATAGGCTCAGCTCAGCAATTTGAGCTAATTTGGTCCAATTTGGTTGTCTACAAAGATGTTTATGGCTATTTCACTTTCCGAATCGAGCCGAACTACTCGGGTCACCTTTTTGTTTTGCCCGGAAGTTTCTTGCAAGATGTAGACTCTACTCCTTCTCTCTCTCTCTCTCTCTCTCTCTCTCGCACTCTCTTTCTGAATACTTATACTGTCTATTGGTGTGGATGATCAAATTGACAAAAACAAAGATAACAATGATGTTAAAACACAAAAGCAAAATTAATTTGGTCGTCTACAAAGATGCTACGGCTATTTAACTTTTCGAATTGAGCCGAACTACGCGAGTCGCCATTTTGTTTTGCCCTGAAGTTCTCGTGCTACACCTCTTTCTCTCTCTCTCTCTCTCTCTCTCTCTCTCTCTCTCTCTCTCTCTCTCTCTCTCTCTATGTCTCCTATTAGTGGGGGGTTTTCTTCCCTTGCAACAACAATTAATTTAAAATAACAGACATAATTGCAAACCAATAGCATGAGCCGACCATTGTATGGCATTGCACAGCGAGGCTCAGAAGTAGTACCAGCTTTGTTCTGTGTTGGGTCCAACAAAGTTCAATCTTACCAAAGGGAAACCTGTCATAAAGGAATGTCCCCGCTCCCCCCTTGATATATTCCTCTTTAATTGCCTGTATAAAATGGAAACCTGTCCAGCGCGGAAACGGAAAGAAAAATCCGCTCACTTCCGAGGGTTTTACCTGTCTTAGACGGAAAATGCTTTGTTTCTGCTCAGCCCTGATTTGAAACAAGACTCTGAAGTTTGGTTCCGCCAGCTCTAAACTAAACACCATGTTGCTGGGGAAGGAAGGGAAGCAGGGGTGCAAGTTGGGGGTAGATGTTACCCTATCTATGTGAGCCCTGAGCGATGCAGTCAGATGGTCAGGGTGGTGTGGATGTGAAATCTCACGAGTTCCAGTGAAAGTGCTCGAGTAGCGAGCCACCATGGAAACTTTCTTGGGTAGCCAGAAGCGAGAGATGTGAAATTTGTTTGACCAATGCCTGCCGCCCTGATCGTAAGGCCAGCTGAGAAAAGAGTTCCTGAAATTTTGTTATACATAGCCTGTTACACTGATGGGTGGAGCTAAGGGTGGAAGCAAAGGAGATATTCACACATTTCTGTCTTTAATAGGTTAAACAGTGGTTTTATGAATCATTATTACAAAGCATAGCAGTTGAGAGGTGTGAAATTTTGGCCACTGCTTACCGATCGGACAAGTGACCTGCTGACCCCACGGGCTGGGCCTTTGAAACTCCCATCCATCTCCCCCCTAAATTCCCTTGTCTAAGATCGAATTTTTTTTCTGGCTCCCTTGCGATTCCGTCTTACACAGGTTCAACTGTATTTCAAAGTCATCTGATATAGATGAATGCTGATTCTGGTGCAGTAGGTCTCGACGGATTTTGAAACAAATAATATTATTGGTTGGCTTGCACCCAAATGCCCAAGCTCGATGTCTTCTCATCCCCCTCTTTGTGCTACACTACTACACTCTAGATTACACACTACCTCTCCATGATCTCTAAAATTCTCTTTATATCCTTTGACTCTGACTCACCCCAGAACTAAAGACAGCTGAGATTATCAATAGTTCAAATAAATATTTAATATTTATACAACTTCTTCCTGAATTCTTAGAATCTTAACACTTTGATCCCTGACCTCTGGAGGCTACTGTGCCCCTCTGCCTGAGCTCTTGAGCGATATATTACTAACATTCATATCATGATCACATTCCAAATCCCACCCAGGCTAGTCCTCGTCAATACAAATACCAGTGTCTAATTCATAAACATCTTTTTAAAAAAATCAATGATCATTTTATAAAAATTATGTAATGTCTTGTGTAGTAAACACACTGTTTTTGCGGGCATACAGACAGTTTTACGCACAAAACCGGTGTTCTGTTTTCTTCAGTTTTCGATATTGTGTGCTCACTGACAATGCAGTGAAACTGTAATATTTGATGAATTTGTGTATATTTGGTGGTAGGCTTCTCTTTGGAGTTTTGTTTTAAATTTTAGATTCATTCTTTGCCATTTTAAAAAAAAGGTCTATGCAAATTAGATGCTAGTTGTGGTTGATCATTACAGTACAATTACTGTAATAAAAAAAAAAGTTTTTTTCCCTATTTTGAAAGATAAGCTTACTACTGGGTGAAAGTTTGAACGCATTCTCGGACCTAGCAAGAGTTTTCAGTTCAGAGGTCGTATTGGAAGCTGATTACTGCTGTGTCTATTGGAACTGAGAAAAATGGCTGTGGAGTATTGAATTATGTATGCATGCATACAAAGTCAAGTATATATTTGAGGGACTGAAAATTTCAGGTCCATAGCATGAAAGTTTTTTTTTAGATATTATGATAACTTCCGTGACTTTCTGATAGCTCCTCACCTTATATAATGAGTGCTACTTGATGGTATGGGGGGGGGGGGGGGTTGCAAGAAGAAGGTGGTTTGAGGGTGCCACAGTAATTATGATCTCTTTTCTGCCTGTCTTTTTACTTTCCGTTTCCATTGTCATTTTTTTCGATGGTGGTTGGTCACTGGTGCGATAAAATGCTCTCCTCCTTCAACTTCTCTTCGTAAATACGTTTCCTGACTGCTTCCTGTGAAATAGAGTGTTTGTCATTGGCCCGGCACATTTGGGTGAACTCCAAAATCTGAAACCTTGATTTTTAATCATGTTGTAGATTAGGGTTAAATACACAATTAAGAGTATTTTTCCATTCTTCTTTTCTGCAGGATTTGAGCTGAAGTAGCCTGTGATTGTTTAATTAAACTGTTTTTAACCTCTCCAGTTAAAAATAAGCTTACTTGGAAATGGCCTATCTGTGCCAAAAGTATACTCAATAAAAATAATAACAATAATAATAAATGAATTTATCACGTGCCAGAATCCACAAAAAGTGCTCAGTGGCACTTACAAAACACACACACGCGTGCGCGTGCACACACACGCGCGCGCACACACACACACACACACACCACACACACACACAGAAAAGTTCTTAAGCTCAGTACCACTATGACATGCATAATTAAAAAAAAAAACACACAAAAAAAAGCCCCCAAAAAACAACTGACAGATATCTCAGATATAGAGTTCCAGCATCATAAATATACTTTCCTGAAAAACACTGTCTTCAACTTTGATTTAAATTGATCCATTGAAAGAGACATTTTAACATCTAAATCCTAATTGTTCCAAAGTGTTGGGGCTCGGATTATAATAGATTACAACCCGAAGGCTGCTGCTGCTATTGTTTTCTAATTGTACAGCTGTATTTGTGTAAAACTAAAGAAGTGTGTGGTACCTAGACACACTGGTGTAAGCTGCTTATTAGTGGTTTTTTGTACTTCTGCTGTCCTAATCTGTGTATGACCCCACCATTTTGTTGTAGCTCGCTGTCAGATCTGGCCAACAAAATTCTCCCAGAAGAAACAGAGAATCGTTTGGTGAGTAATGGAATGCTTTTCCCAATTTTTGTCTTCTCAGGTTGTACAGTCCCTCCAAAGTGGGGACACCCCAACAGTCAGAGGAGCGGTTGATGTCATGGGTCCGGCAAGACTTTGATCACCCTAGTCCTGAGATGGAGTCTTCTCGGAGAGCATTGTTGTTGAAGCTTGATGAGGTTGCAAGAAGTAAGGATTCTTTTTTCTTGTTGTTGTTGAGACAGGCTGCTTGCCATGTTTGTCTTCTTCCTGTATGTTTTCTTTCCCTTAGTTTTTCTCTAGTTTGTCGCCAAAAACTCTTGAAAAAACTATCACTATTGTTGTACCGTGGGAATAGGTGTATTTATGTTGTTTTTGCCTATTTGTTAAAGTTGCCTTTGCAGTTTGACTTTGATGTCTTAAGATTTCATGTTAGCGAAAACTTCCTTGTCTTGCAGCTCCCTTTACGTAAAAGAATTTGCTCTGCTGTGCTTACCGTTGTGCACTGTGTTATTAGTGCCTTTCAGCATTCCCCCAGTGTTGACTGTGTTGATGTTGACCATCTTATAAATTGGCCTCTTAAAAAGAATACTTTTTTTTGTGTGAGTGTATGCTCCTTCTTCAAATTGTCATGCTTATGTGGAAAAAATTTGTTTTTGGGTGTGTGTGTGTACACTGATGCAGCCAATTTAAGCCTGAAAGAGTCTTTTTTAGAGTTGTTTCAGGGTACTTGTCTTCGTTTGCGGAGCTGTCATATGCTTTTAAGTGTTGAAGAGCTCTCACTCTAAAAAACGACATAGCTTGGCCTGAGGACTTACAATGGATAAGAATCATAGAGCAAAAGTAGGAAAAGGCAATGATTGTGCTTATGCCAAAATCTTGCGCTGTCGTTGTCATTATATACATAGTTGAGTGTGATATTCTTTCTAAAAATTCTTGACATATGTTGTCAATAAAAACATCTGCACTTTTTTCTTAGCCAAGAGTTGGACTGACAACCAGAAAATTCCACCATGACAGAGTGTACAGACCTCTAGGAAAGAGATATTGTACATTAATGCCATTTTTTCGCTCAGAGCGTTTGTGATTGCTAGCGCTTATAAACTTATAAGCAATGCCCTGCCTGTTGAATGAACAATGGTGTGGCTGTTCTGTTTTCATGTTGCAAAGCTTAGGCTACATTGTATTTTGCTATTTGAATATCACAAAAAAGACTAACTGTAACATACCTAACGTGAAAAGAGACTTTTATAGAATTAAATTTTGTACTTATGCGTACGGTAACTCGGCATAAAGCAAAAATGCAAACGTGATGCAACTCTAAGGTTCACAACAATACTTGTGCAATTCTTTTATTTAAAAACCGTGGTGACCGTTTAAGGAGAATGAAAAATAACAACAAATGGAATTGGGACTTAGTTGGACTAACACTGATCTTTGGTCAAGATAAGCTAGGTATTAATATTATTGTAATTTATGGAGTGTGGATAGACTGCTCTGTACAGCCACCATTTTTTGTTGTTGTTTGTTTGGCTGACTTGTATTTGTGCACAGTGATATCTTCGTGGTACTGTACTGGAAAATAGAACACACCCTCTTTTATTTATCCACATGAACTGACACTTACACAAGATATCTACCTTGCACGCTTAACAAGTAAAGTTAATATCAGTGCTTTTGCTTTTCACCAACCGTTGAATATCTCAGAGGAAAAAACCCTTGAGAAATCGCGATATTATATGGTATTTCATCTTTCTTTTCTTCACACCCTTTTCAGTTATACTCAATATATTATTATGTGTTTGATTGGAGCAAAGTAGAGCTTTCATTGCCTATGAGTTAGTATTCTAATTTGCAAGGAAATTACACGCTTTAAGCTTTTATTTCTACTAAACGTGCTTGTATCAGCATCCGTGGTATAGTGGTTAGGTGCTTTGTCATGGAATGCAGAAGGCCAGAGTTCAATCCCCTGTATCAGGAGAATTTTATTCACTGAGTTTCTTGGTCTTTCTCTGCGGATGTTGTATTCATTTCAACCCTGAGTGGCCCTGGCAGGCAGAGTCTAAGCCCACCTCTTAAATTTAAATTATCTAAATTGTGCGGATGAAATTCAAGTGTTCCTTCCGTAATCGAGCTCAAATGATGCTGGCATCAGCATAGTGATTGGACGAAACATGTTTTCTTTAATTTTGGTCTGAACATTCAAAGGGGATGGTCGGGAATGTCGAGTGAACATGGCGATTTCTCACTTAATTTCATCCCTTGTCAAACTGTTTGTCCTCCCAGGGGGGTTAGAAGGTGCCACTGGTAGGTCCTCCTACTTCTTTACTCTCCCACAGTCATAGAAAAAAATCTGTCTTGCTATTTTTTTCCATTCCTTAAAAAAAATTGTCTTTTCGGTGTGCTTCTCTTTACTCAAACTAAAACGAAACTGTTTGTCTTCTTCAGTGAAGCATAGCTCTAGTTCACCAGTCCTAGGTAGCCAGCCCGCTGCCAGCCGGTCGGCCACGTCTCTGAGCAGGTCGACGGAGGAGAGTAGCACCCCGTCACGGGGGATGGCGCTCCGTAAATCTGGCCTTGTGGCTCCAGGTTTGTCTTCTTTTACACCCGTATAATATATATTCATCACTGCTGTTTGCTTCATGTATAAAATGTGCTCCTTGGCTGTTGTGTATATGGAAGGGCATTTGGGTGTATATTATATTAATTATTATATATTTTTAAAAAAAATTTTGTTTTGTTTTTGTTTATGCATGCTTTTTTTTGCTTTGGGGAAACTACGTATATTTTTTTAGACGAGAGGGAAAATAAAAATTTTGATATTGTAAATGGGGTCTGTAATAATTTTCAGTATTTGACAGACCTGATTGTGCCTTGAAGTATTATAATAGAAAAGCGCTCCCCCCTGTATTAAAACATGAGGTTGTAGGTAGTATTTTAGACACACCCGTTTTTCAAGGCATCAAGTCCTTTTGTTTTACTGGAGAGTTATGACCAAATTTTCCTGTGTGTTTCTCACTCTTAAATATGCAGTTACGCTGAGACATGAAACGCGATCTTCCTATTACATTGAATAGTTGTCGGGGTCTTTTATTTAGCTCTTATGTCTCCTAAAATTTTGATCCCCCTACTCTCAGGTGACATTAATTAGTTTTTAGCTTGTTGCCACACAAGTTTCTTCACGTACCCAAGCAAGTTTCAAAGATGCCTCTATTCCTGAAATGGCAGGAATTTGCAGCATATTTATCCAGATGGAAAATTTCTTCTCTTTAAAAACAATTCTTGCATGCTTTCATCAAATCGTATGACACTTGAAAAAATGAATTGGCAGATCCAAAATTGTTAATCCTCACAATGCACTATTCATTTGAAAATGTTCAGTCAACCTGCATGCGATCATTTTTGTAGCACATCAGTCAGTCTACTTTAGGTGTCATTAATATTTAAGGTGAAACTGATATCTTCAGGTATGCTTAGGTTAGACCATGAAAGGAAATAATTTTTTCAAGGGCATAGTGGCATCATTGAAACTTGTTCTGTAGCTATGCTTTAATCATCATATAATGCATGACATTTTGCCTTTCAAACTATTTATCTATGATAACCAACCAAAAGCCTGGTAAAGAAGGGGTCGGTTGGTGGGCTCTCTGCTGTGGTCTGCTCCTTTTACATTTTGCTGATGTCACCTACCATTTTTTTAAGCTGCTTCTAGTGTATTGTGGCCATTTTCATAGCTGCTTGCTGTAAACCATAACTGGAGAATGATGTCTGGTAATGAAGCGAAGGTCTAATGACATGTTGTTCTTTCCCCAACTTTCCTTGTTGGCTTTGGTGCTGCAGGATCCAACAGAGGTGCGTTTGACTCGGGTACCTTCACACGACCAAAGAGAGTGGCCAATGGCGGCCCGCCGATGCACGGAGAGGGGGACCATTTGCACGAGACCCCCAACGTGCCTAATGCGGCTGACATAGAGAACCTTGCCAAACTACAGGAAGAAAGTAAGTGCTGCTTGCTGAAATGTTAACTTTTCTATAATGCACTGCAGTGTTTCATGAATCCTTCTTACAATTTTACAGGAGGCGGTGATTGGCTTTGTTTAGCTGCCCCCTCCCACCCCGTTACCTTATTTTGTGTCATGCTTGACAAGGATTCCGTTGACCCATGTTTGAATTCCTAAGGGTTCTTTCTTGGGATGTTCGGAGAGTTCCTTCCAATGGCTCTCCACTTTTTTGCCTCAGCCCTATTGGAGTCGGATGTTACGTTAGAGGCATCACCTTTTCGATAATTTGCATTATTTCAAAAGACTTGGAAATCAGTACCATAGGATTGATTTGTTTCGAAATGTTTCATGCCTATATGAAATGTTTCAATATGATTTCTAAATGGATGAGTGTACATATTGTCTGTATCTTACTTCCTAATCAGCATGATAATTGTGTGGTTTGGAACGAAGGAGAAAAATATGTGCCAATTTGATATAGGTATGGCAACTGATATCGTGAAATGAATAGAACACAAATTTGGTCATCGCGTATTACTTGTTCTGACTAGATTTTGTTTTGAATTCTCAACTCAGTTAAAGAGCTGCTTTGACTTAAGTCTATATGTAATCAGTTTTCGTGCAATCACACCTTTGGTATGTTTTGTGACTGTTTCTGTATTCATATTTTCTTATAAACTTGATTCTGTAATTTTTGACATTTTCGATTTAATATTTTTACAGGCCTTCGACAGAGCATAACCCCTGCCAGCAGAAAAGGTAAACACATTGCATATGTATAATATAAATGTGTAGGTATGTTAGTCAATAGCAGGTGATTCTTTAAAAGTTTAAAAAAACGCTCTCCACTACGATGCTTGAGTAGGTGGTTGATGAGTACTCAGATATTATTTTTTCATTCTGCTTTTTTTTTTGTTCTTCTAGTATCATTGTTTATTCTTGACAAAGTGTGGCAATGGTTCTCTTGACTTGCTGTAAAATACAACTTCGTTAGAAGAAGCAACTCTTGATGTTATGAAACTGACAAAAGATTCCTCATGTTTCTGTCTTGTGGCGAGTGATTGGTGAGCACTCTAGTAGGATTTTCTTTATCTTATTCCTATGTGTGTCACTGCAATCCGTAAAATCTTTTTGTAACATTTGATTTTAGTTTTGTAATTTCCGTACACTAGATACTGATGAAATGTGGCCATATTACCGTGCAGACTTTCCATAATGTGCCATGCAACAAACTGATGAAGAGGGGGCTCTCGTGGCCTAGTGGTTAAGGTGTTGGCCTCTCACTCAAAAGGTCCCGGGTTCGAATCCGGGCAGCAACCGAAAAATTTTCTTCTCTAAATTTGTCTCCTTTCACCTCATTTCCTGCTCTCTAGCAATGTCTTGTCGTCTGCTTTCGTCTCCTCCTTCTGCCCCCACCCCCCACACCTCCTTTGCCCCTTCCTTTGGGCTCCTGATCCTCTCTGCAGCCTTTCTACTGCTACTCCTTCGCTTCTTCTTACTGCTGTCTTTCAGCCACACCCCTGATCTTCTGGTAGGAAAGATCTACACCTAGCCTTCTCAGACAAGGGCGAAAAAATCTCGGAGGGCCCGTGTGCAAGTTGCGCACGTTAAAGATCCGTTGGTGGTCTAAAATTGATAAGAGTAGGCTTCGGCTGCCACCCGGGCAAAATTTAAAAATTTCCTACCAACTGAAAATATTAGGTGTGTCCCGCGCGCTCATATGACCTTATGCAGTTGCAAGCGCCGTAAAACACTTTACCAAAACAAACAAAAACAAAGAAACTGATGAAGTGTAGTTTTAAGAAAATAATATTATCATGCTTACTGGCAGCTTGTAAACTGCATCTCAACTAGTGCTGTAGATTAAGAGTTCTTTGACATGTTTCTATGTTTGTTTTCACAGGCATCAGGGCAAAGCATGATTTAATAGAAGGTGACACAGCACGGCTGAGCCCAAGTCGCTTTGATGGTAGGTACCAATGTCACAGTGGCTGCTCCTACTTTTGGGGGAAGTTGGTGGGTGCTCTGGTTGGTTCTACTCTTTCTCTTTCTTGTTTTTTTTTTTCAGTGTTATTTTAGTCGTATATTGTTGTTGGTGACATGTAGCCGTCATTGTGTCAGCTCACAGTTGTTGGGAGTAGTGAGCTTTTACACTTTTTTTTTCTTTTAAGTCTTGCAGTAAGCTATTTTATATTGGTTCTGGAATTGAAATAAGGTGACAAAATTCTACTTATTATGAAAAAATTGTTTTAAAGTTTCGAACAGTTTTTCCCTGAGTTTGTTGACCTAAATTGTTTACTGGGGTGATAAACTTACACAAAAAGGACAGTAAAATATCTGACAAAAGTATCTGTTACTATGCAGACTTGTGTGTGTGAGTCTGTGTGTGTGTGTTTCCTCCAGCCTTGAGCTTATGTCTGTTGTATGTGTGTGTGTTTCAGTGGAAGGGTCCTACCTGTCCCAGCATCGAGGCAGCCTGGGTTCCGAGCACAGCACGCCACCCGACAGTCCGCAGTACAACCAGCAGTTTCAGCTCAGCAGTTCCCACGGTAATAATGGGCAGCAACTGGTTCAGTTTTGTTCTTAGTTAAGCAGGCTAAGTTGTAGGGCTGTACCCCGGTAGCAAACCCGCTCGTGCTCACAAGCCCCTAGTTCAAGTCACAAGCCTCAAATCAGTAGGTCAAATCATCAAATCAAATCACCAGCATGATAAGTTGAGTCTAGCGCAAACTGTAACCTCCTTGGTCTAGTCTAAACTTCAAGTCCACAGCAACTAGTAATCCGCGAAGCCACTCGTGTCAGGCCCCCTCATCATCCCCACAATGCTTGCAATCCGCGAAGCCACTTACGTCAGAAAAAGAGAGAGGGGGAGAGTGAGAGATCTCGCCCACAGAGTCACTGCGCGGCGTGGCGCTGTAGTTTACTCGATTAATCGAGGCCTGCGCAAGCCTCAAGTCCCGTCCGCTGCCACAGGCCCCACAATTCACACAGTACTGATTTGCGCTAGGCTTACAGATTTGCCCCAGGACAAGCTCCAAACCTGACCTGCTGACTTGTACTGTCTCGATACACCGAGCGAGCGGCACGGGCTCGATGGCGTAGGACCGCCTTGATGGCGACAAGACAGTCCGATGTGTTCAAACAGCAAGACAGTACTGTGCGCTGTGTGAACTTTGAACCGTGGTTTTGGTGCAAGGCGTAGAGAGCTGAAGTTATTTTTAACTTCCCGCCGTTGATCAGCTAAGCGAATGGATAAGTGAGAGGGAGCGTGGTATTGTAGTAACAGAGACCTAGGTTTCTGATAATAATAAGAATAAGTAGACTTATATTACCCTAGAATGGAGAACTCCAGGGGTCGTTGTGATTGGCTTTTGTATCGTATGTATGTAGATGTGTTACACTCACAGTGACATAACACAGAACATTTAGGAGACAGGCTAGGCCTACTTCAACCCAATGTCAGGGCCAACCTGGGCTGAGAGGGAACAACGCCCCAGCAGAAAGACGGAAGTTCTCAGTAAAAATTTCTTCCCATACGGGAATCGAACTGAGGTCTTTTGCATGCGACGATGAAGCGCTTGGCTCGTGCACATTAAAAATTAACAGGCCTTAATATCATAAGAATAGTCGATCCAATATTAATTTTTAAGTGCATTGAATAGAGCTTTTTGTTTTTTACAACCGAACTATGAAAAAACAACAACCGATCTTGCACTTTTGGTGCAAACCTCTCAACGCAAATAACCAGAGAATCTATAATATGTACTGAGCCTACTGCCACGAGAGTTCGCGACGTCACGACACAGTACAGCAGGACTGTCCGCGAGTCACAACTCACCGGAAGTTCCCTCCGGTAGCAAGCGGGAGGCAAATCAAACCACAAGCCTGCTCGCAAGACTCTAGCGCAAGACTTCCACTGCTTTACAAGCCTTCGATTAACTGAGCAGAATCCAGCCCTACTAAGTTGTGTGTTCTGGTTTAGAGTCCTGTGATATTTTGTATTTTTGGGAAGATACGCTGTTGTGGTGAAATGTCTAAAAACATGTTCAAAGTAGGAGGTTGGGAGATGATAATAGAAATAGATAGCATTTGTATAGCGCAAATCCCCACTCAACAGCAAGCTCTATGCGCTTCACAATCTATACTATTACCCCAGCAGACCTGAGAACATTCTGAAAAAACTCAACTTCCTGGGAAGTATACAGTGCAAGCAACCAGTTATAGGCGCTAAAACACTAATATACTGGCAATATCTTTCGCTGTCTATGGCCGGGTACCCATTTCCACCTGGGTGAAGTGAGAAAAATTCGTGTAAAGTGCCTTTCCCAAGGACACAACGTTGGGCCCACGGCTTGAACCCCCCGACCCCGCAACCTCACGATTACGAGTCCGGTAGCCTAACCACTAGTTAATAACGCCTGGTTCTTCTTTTCTCACCATCTGTTTGCTGTCTTGGATTTTGTCCCAACTGCAGTCATAAGACTGAACTACTGTGTAACATATGACATTTTGCACCTAGTCAAATTATGTATGGGTGGTTGGTGGGCACCCTGGTGAGGTTTGCTCTGTCTTTTCTGTCAAACATCTATCATCCTTATCTCTCCTCCTCCTTATCTGAATAAAACACTTTCTAGTAACTCGTCTAACTTTAGGTACTTTTGTGACTCTCTCTGTTTTAAGTGCCATAAAACTCTTACTAAAACTAAATATATTATGTCTTTCCCCCCAGCTGCTTCAAATAGTGACCGTGACATGGTTATTACGTTTACTCGGCCTGTATTGATAGAAAAGAGAAGAAAAACTGGTTCTATTTTAGACTTTGATGAGGAGATTGTTTTTTAAACTACTGTGGTTGAATGAAACTCCTATGGGGTGTGTGTATGTGAGCTTTTGTCTTTGGGTCTGTGTGTATTTTGTTCCTGTGAAATATGGCTTTTGCTTGACTTATGTTTGTACATTTTGGGCTTTTTGCTCGTACAGAAAGAATCAGCGGGTAATTGGCGGGTGCTCTGGTATGGTTTACTCCATCTTTCCTATCAAGCATCTATTGTGCTTGTCTCTCCTCCTTCTTTCCTATCAAATATCTATCGTCCTTATCTCTCCTCCTTCTTTCCTATCAAACATCTATCGTCCTTATCTCTCCTCCTTTTTTGTGTTTGTTACTCTCTTGTAACATTTCTTATCTTCAGCACTTGTATGACCTTATTGTATTGCAAGTGCCGTAAAACTCTTACAAAAACTAAAACACAAAGAAAGAAAGAAAAATCACATCATTTCTGATGGTGGTTGCTGTGGCTTATGCTTCAGTTTTCTGTCCCCCCCCCAATTTCAGATTCGCGGAACCGTCGCAACCTGTCCATGGTGGCAAGCCTCCAGCACAAGTCCCACAACTCAAGCGACTCGAGCCTTGAGCGGCACAGCGTCAACAGCGACGAGATGAACCTGGCCCCCGAGTCGATCCGGGCGCCCTCCTCCCGCCTCCAGCAGCCCAACTACCGCAACGGGGCCAGCCCCAAGCGGCCCATCACCCCAAACCTGTCCCCGTCTCCCCAGCAGGGCCAACAGGTCAGGGGCCTGTCCCCACAGCGGACCAGTGGTCTTCCCACGGCGCGCCGACAAATCGCCCGGCCCACCACGGCTCCCAGGTCGTCTTTACCCACGTTTAGGAGGTATGTGTACGTTCTTGTGGGGGCTGCTTGCGGGTGGTGATTGGTTGTCTCTTTCTCTGGCGGGGGTTTGCTCCTTCTGCGTCTTCTCTGTACTATTATTTTCATTTTAAAAAAAATTTATTATTCTTCTTTACACCTGTTTTTTTTCTTCCTTTTTTCTATTAACTGTCTTTTTGTTGTTTGGCACTTATATGACCTGGTTGTGTTGCAATTGCTGTAAAACTTTTACTTGAACTAAAAGTCTGATTCCCTGTAAAGACTTCTCTGTTGACACCCGCCCCTTGGCACTCATATGACCTTATGCAGTTGCGAGTGCCGTAAAACCCTCTACTATAATAAAAATAAACTAAGGTTGCGATCTGACAAATTTTGAATTCTATTTTTTTTTGGTCCTTCTTTTCCAGGGCAAATGCTCCGGCCCGTAAACCCCCTTCATCTCAGGAAGGGGAGGAGAACTGGAGAGACGGCTGCTTTTGACACCAAGTGCTTATTTTCTGGCGCCGCCTCCTCTTTCGTTCCGTCTCGTCTGCTATTTATAGACACCAGCAAGGTCCATTGGTTGCCTGTGTGAGCGTCGCCCGATAGAACTACTGCCAGGCTTCTGTTTTGTTGCTTCTATCTGTTTGAGATCTCATCCACACTTGATAGATTTTTGTTTTTTCTCTTGACTGGAAAGGGATTCATGTAAATACACTTCACCCCTTCCCCCCCTTGGCCCCCTCCCCTGGGCTCCTGACTCTTTCTGCAGCCTTTCTACTGCTACTCCTTGGCTCCTCCTAACTGCTGTCTTTCTGCCACACCCCCATCCCTTTACCCAGCCCCCAAACCGTGATACATTCTTGGAAAACACTGTAGTAGTACTACTGTTACCGAAATAATTTTGTAATATAATTTGACATTATGCATTATATTCTCATAGGACTGTATGATACGCCATATTTTTCTTGACGCTTTCACGTACACTGTTGAAATGCATGCTGGGTATATAATATGTGAATGCACCTCGTTAGTGACAGCATGCTACTTATCTTTTGAAGAGGTTTTATTATTTTTTTCTTCTTCCAAGCCGGTTTTTATTCCGCGTACAGCTTTGAGCTTTGGTATGGGGCTTTCTGTTGTTGTCCATGCTGTCAATGCCATATAGTATTTATATTCTGTACATGTACAAAGCGTCTGTGAGCTCAGCCAGTCGGCGTAGCCGTACCGTGTTTGCCAGGCCTCAGTGTTGGCGTGATGGAGACATCGAGGATGTTGTTTGGCCTGAAGTGAGGTGGGCGAGTCCAGGAAACTTGTTAAGTTGCACCGGATGGAAATTTAAGAAACAGTTTTCTGGTTCCGTCACTTGTTGTGAAACAAATATTGGGATTTTGACTGAAGGTTTGCCTGTTTATTTGTTTGTTTGTTTTTTGGGGGGGAGAGGGTTGTTTTTTTGTTTTTGTTGTTTGTTTTTGTTTGTTTGCTGTTGTTGTTGTTCTAGGGAAATGGTGTATGCTCGAGGTGTGGATGTAGCTTGGGGTTTAAGAGTATTATGAGTACTAAAGCTTTTAGAATAACATCAGCTACAGCAGCACATGGTGTAGAAGTAGAAGGATGCCCTCTATTTATCAGTTGAAATGTTTGGGGAGTTGTTTTGTTTTATTTATTTATTTATTTTAAAAAAAAAATTTTTTTTGGGGGGGGGAGACTTGGCCAGTTTTCACAGAATTTCTTTGCTATGATTTTCGTATGTTTGGTTGTCATACTAGACAGATCTGTACAGAAGCAGTAGTTGTGGAGAAGTGAAGGTAATGTGAGCGGTTCATGCTGGAACAGTCTGACCAGTTTGGAGACTATTGTATTGGTCAAAGATGACACAACTTCTTTCGTTCGCTGCGACTGGCAGTAGTGGTGTCTGTCACCAGAAATATATTTAGGAAGTTTGCGCTAACCAACGTAACATCTCATTGAGAAATTTCAGTTTCCTGCTAGTAGCTAGGACTCAAACTCAGTATTTTTTAGCAGGGTCATTTCCACCGTTGCCATAGACACACCCGTGCCCCCCTTGCTCCACCCCCCAACCTCCATGCTGTGATTGTTGTGTTCTTGTGTATGTGCTTGGGTGAGCTGCAGAGAACCGTCTTGTCCCTGTATGGAAGCCCCAAAGGCCATCATGCTATGTATTTATGAGTGTGAGACATGACATTTTCTGTGCTCCGACTCCGAGGTTCCGCTATGGCGTGACTGACACTTTTTCCTTACATGTGTGAGATTTCAACTGCAGATTTATTTTGTGTAGGGATTTTGTTTTATGTTTATATGGCTTGGTTTCAGTGTTCTGACAGTTGTCTTTTTCACTTCTGCACACACACACACACATGCGTGGGAGGAGAGAACATTTGCAGCTGGACAGATGCTTTGTTCTCAATTCTCATTGTAATTTTTTTACCACTTTGAGTTCTCCCTGTTCTGTCTTCCTGTTGCATACGAGTAGTGAGACCCTTTTTGTTGATAGATTGGGCCATAATAGTCCTTGGTGAGGACAGGGTTAAGGATTAGAGGAGGGGCAGGAAGGGACACGTAGGTGGTGAGAAAAATGTGGTGCAGCTTTACTGTGCTGAATAATGTGATAAAGGAGTTTGCTGAGGGCTAGCTGGTCATTGTCCTATTGGATGTGATAGAGAGGTACAGCTTTTGGTGTGTGTCTGGAAGTGGAAGAGACTGAAATTCACCCTGAGATTCTGTGAAGTGGAGTGTGATGGAGCAGCTCATTTTTGTTTGTTTTTTAAGTGTGTGATCTGTCGCCCTGTTATGTGTGGGTTCTTGTACAAACTGTTCACAAAGAGAAGCACATATTGCTCTTTCAACATCTGTTTTTAAAACACGCTTGTGTAAGAAATAAATTTCAAGGAGGAAGAAAAGCTCAACAGATGAAGGGAAACATATTTTTCTTGTATATAATATTAGGTATAATTTAAATCTAATACATGAACTGGTTAAAGATTTAAATGGATGAAGGCTAAAACTCTTGTTGTGTTTCTCTTTTTGAACGGTTTATTCTTACAATGTTTGTGCGAGCTTAAGCTGTCAATATCATATGTTTTTGGTTTTTTTGCAATATTGCGCGATTAGTTGTCATGGTAACCATGATGGAGGAAGAGAACAACACGGTTGTAATTTGTGAACAACTCCTGTGACATTGTGGGGGAAAATCCCCGTCATTGATTCAGTTTGCTAATAATATTATGTGTACATAGAATATGATTTGTTAATTCAATAATGAGAACTGGCTTCTTGTCTCTGATTTGGGACGCGTTCCGCTCCCTGAGATATTATTTCTTCTACTACTACACATTTTGACTTTTGACACCCTCGATGATAACTTTATGACGATGAGGCTGGGTGGTGCCAGCTTGACTGGCAGGGTACGGATATGGTGTTGTTGTTGCTGTTGCTGTGGTTGTTGCTGTTGTTGAGAGGAAGACTAATTACCCTGAGGGATGGAGTGATCCACGCGGATGTGGTGCATGTAATGAAATATTGAGTTTTGCTGTGTTGCTTGACGTTTAAATGTTTGTTTTTGAGTTACAGCAGTAAATGATGTGTTGGGGTAGAAGAAAGGTGTGGCTTGGTATGTGGCAACAGGGACCACTGATGGAGTGGTTATTGGTTTTGGACTGTAAAGTTTGAAAAAAAAAGAAAAACAATGAAGGATTAGGTCTGTTGTGTTTTGATCAGTTGGATGTTATGGAATGTACATTTTTGATTGTTGCTGGTAACTTTTTGTGTGGACTGAAAAACTGATGACATTTTTGTGTCTGTCGTATGTGACTGAGAGACAAATTATGTGAAAATGAGAAATTGTTTTAAACACTCGTCTCAAACAGAAAGTGTGTCGTCTGGATAGGGGGGAGTGGGGGTGGGGGCACACCTAGTTGGAAAGGAAAATTGTAGACTTTTGAATGCGTGACTGTTTGTAGTAGAGAGTGTGTTTGTGTGTGTATGTGTGCTTGCGTGCGCGACGCACATGTTAGCTTGCTTGTGTCAATGAGTGTGAGGTACACATCCATGAGAGACGGGGTTTTGCTCGAGTTTTCGACAGTGTTGTCCAATAACCCGGGTTTTTCTTTTCACTTCATACAATAGGAGTTTGTACAGCACTTTGCTGTACCCGGGTGTCAAGTGTAGTGTAAAGCTGTTGGTGGGTAGACGGTGGAATGTATGTGGTCATGATTATGCAGACGCGCCTTGTAACCTTGCTCTACTCATTCTTGACTTGGGTTACCCCTCTCCCTCAGACGAGTGTAGTGAGTTTGTCAGCTGCTGATTTTATTTATGGTGCAAAGTAAAGCGCTTGCCTTATGACTGATTAAGAGTCACATAACATTGTTGCCAGTATGCTCGTATGCTTGTTCCATCTCTAGAGACGGAGACAGCGTGGATGTCAGTTTGTGAATTTCTTCCTGTTTACCTCAAGCTTTATCATTGTAAAAATGAGATGTTCATTGCCTTAACACTTTCATGTGACTGTTTGTTTCTCACACCGAATTTCCTCATTGGTAGACGTGGCGAAGAGAAAAATAGATTGTTCTCGTTCACCTGTAACTAACTTCTATTTCATTTCTAGTGTGGACAGTGTGTCGGGTTCTACGTCAGTAGTGAGAATTAATTTTTTTCTTTCACTAACTTGGAAAGAATGGGAGCTCCAGGAGGATTCTGAGTGACTGAGCGCACAGGTTGTTGAACAAATGGGTGGCCACTGGTGGCGGAGAATGTGAACTGGAAAGAGTTAACTAATTAGTAGGTTGGTGCTTAGTTTGATAACAATATGGTACACTTTCCTCATAATCATAATGACTTCACCACTAGTTTGTTTGGGGGTTTTTTTATGGAGGGGGGAGTGTTTTGTTTTGATTTATGTTACTGTTGTATTGTATTGTAAAGTGCTCAGAGCCTGTGTACTTTAATCGGGTTTGAACGCTATCATAAATTTCATTTTTTTTTTTTCCATAACATTTTACAAAATAAACCCACGGGCATGTACTCACACAAACAAATATATGCATGCAGACTCACAAGTGCGTACGTTTCCACATATGAACTTCATATACCTGTTTTGACTGCAAGGCATATTATTCCATTTGCCAAGAAAAGTAAAAGCTACCCAGTGCTCACACCAAATGTATTGGTTAACCTAGACAGAGAGTACCCCTGAATTATGGGTATCGGTATATGTAGACTCTTATTTTTTTGTCTGTTTCTGTTCCTTCGGGTTTTGGGGGGGGGGGGGGTTCTGTTCTTCGCTATCTGTGATAAAGATGATGTACTTCTCGTAGCAAAATCATGTCAGATATCTATCTAGTTGTTGGCTTCAGCAGTGGCAAAGTGTAGATATAACTTGGATGTCTCGGTTGCTCCACAAAGAATGTCACTTCTCTAGACTACCCCAGCAATATTACACATTTTCTGCCCCGTTGCTATTGTCGGGGGTTTCTACATTTGCATCCCTAACCGCAAAACAACAAATTCCCATTAAAACTTAACTAATGTATCAGACTTTTATATTGTATCATCTGAAATGAGCTAACAGGGCCCGAAGAAATTATACAAAGTTTTCTGTTTTACTGAAAAGAAGAAAGGAGTTTCATGTACATTATGTATTTTGTCTTCTTCCCCCCACTATCCCGTCTAGTTTGTTTTTTTCTGCCATTGTCTATTGCTATTGAGGCATTTGTCGTCAAAC